CGATATATATTTTTTTAGATCTGTAAGATAAATATTTAATGACTAATAAAGTTAGGCTAGTAAACTAGCCCCACCCGCCGGCAGCCAAAAACATTTTTGCCTGCGAGTTTGGTCTAGCCTTGATCAATGCCCCAGGCCCTAGCACTGGAGGGGTCAATCACAAAGCAGAGATGTGTTTTGAATTTTCGGATGCAAAGCAGGCGGGGTTTTGAGGGCATGATGACGAAGCTGCGCGACGCTGGAGAAAGCACAACAAGGAAGATGGCAACAACTATTGAACAGTTCTCGTTTGACTCAGCTTTGGAATCGGTTTTGGAAGGATTAGATTTGGGGTTTTGGTTGAAACGTGAGCAGGAAGAGGCTCTACGCTCATTCATTTTTAAGAAGGACGTACTCACTGTTTTACCGACATGCTGTTTGTTTACACTCCCCCACCAGCTTTCTGTCACGCTTACTACATCTCAGTCAGTTGCGCTCATTGGTCACAGCGTTGGCCAATAGGCACAGACATGGGGTTGTATTCATCAACAATCTTCTGATGTGTCATTCATCTGGGCCAGACTAAATTACACATTTAATGTCACATTTAGTCTGGTTTATCAGGCTATAATAAACTGTCATTCCATTTTTCATCAGATTGGTGACGTATTTCCGCCCTAGGGTACAAAAATCTTTGCACATTAACACTCGTTAAACATTGTACATGCGCAGTAGTCCCTCTGCAATACAAAGGTATAGGAGAGCTGACAAGAAGTGTATTTGCTCACCACCTCCCGTCACAGGGCAGATGTTTTGATTGACAGGTCGACCCACGGGAGTTGGAGATGCATTGGAGAGAGAGGGAGAGAAATGGAGCAAGAAATGTCCTTTTTCAGGACCTGGTTTATCAAGGCGGCTTGGCTAGCAACAAATATCATTATCCTGCTTTCCCTGCCTCCTTTTTATAACGTCAGGATCTGGCCCAGCATGTCTAAAGACAGGTAGGACTGATTTAAAGCACTTTTTATAAAAGGCAAAGAAGAATTAACAATTTCTAATTCAGATGGAAAATAATATAATATAGTGTACTTTTTCTTGATATTTGTTCATTTGCATTCTTTAATATACATTCTCATTAAATAAAAAAGTGTAAAGCTGACCAATAGCTTCACCATTATTAAACTGGTACATTGTTTTTTTTAGATCTGTGACACAATTTTGGACCATGCTAAACACAGATTTGCCTTCACAAAGCCTCAGGAGAGCAAGATTTATGTTAAAAAAAAGTAAACCTATAATTGATTTTATTTTTTTTAGTAAAGTGTTTTCATAATGTTTTTTGTTGTTGTCATTCATATAAATATACTGGTCTGATAACTTAGTATATGTTTGATTAGTTTTTGGTATACGTCTATTTTAATTTATTGCCCCCCTGGAGAAAACTCCACCAGCCGCCACTGAGCTGAGCTGAATGATTTGAAGGAGGACAATATTTGACCACCTTTTTATTTACTTCTAAGTTTACTTGGAAGGCAAATGCGACGTCTCTGGATTTTAATATTATTTTCACGGAAACTGCAGCTTTTACAGTATGTCTAAACATAGTAAAAGGTCAAAGTAAATGTCATAAATTAAAACCTACCCTGTACAGTGATGTTGACTGTGTTGCTAAAATCTGATCCAGACTCACACCAGTACACTCCACTGTGAGACCGGTCTGAGTTTATAGTACATGAGGATCCAGTCTTTGTCCGCCAGTTGGAGCAGTCAGTGTATGAAATTTCGCCTATTTCTGTAAACCTCCTCAGTCTCCACTCAGTGTTGTTCCCACTACAGCTGAGAGTGACAGACTGATAGATAAAATGTTGAACTCTGTCTGGAGTCACTGAGAGAGAAGCAGTTGGATGAGAGTCTGAAAAAAGCAGAAAAAAATTTGCTCTGATATAATTGCTTTGTAAAAAGATGTTATTTATAGAGAAACATTTAAGGAATATAGTCATGCTTCACAGTAAAAAAATAGAATGAACTCATAGGAAGGCCAAGTAGGAAAGTAATGAATAGACTTCTGCAGAAATCCATAAGAGTTCACAGAATCCTTCATCGCTGTTGAGGCTAGTTCATGATTAATCATCTTCGGCCTCCTGCACCAAACAAACCTTTGTAATGGGCTTGTCCAAGCAACTAATCCAAGTTTTATCCGCACCTGACGAACAAATCCTCTTCGGTCTGGGAATATTTGAATCAATAGTCCCATCAACCATGAGTTTCGAGGTGCTGTGCTGTCCACAATGAAAACAAGGTCTCCTACATTGATGTTCATCTTTAATCCTATCCATTTCTGGCGCTCCTGCAACTGGGGTAAATATCCTTTCACCCATCTCTTCCAAAAAAGATCAGACATATATTGGACCTGCTTTTATCTCCTGTGTGCATATATGTCCATATATGTTGCTTGGAACACTCCTGGTGGTAGGGAAGGACAGGTTTTTAACAATAGGAGGTGATTAGGAGTTGGTGCTTCCAGGTCATTCACATCCATTGGGGCCTTTGTGATTGGTTGGCTGTTGATGATGGCTTCAGCTTCTCAAAGAACTGTGCAAGCCAGCCTCATCAAGGGTTTGTGCTCTAAAGGTGGAGTTGAGTATTTTGTTGATAGATCTTATCCACCGTTCCCATGATGTGCCATAGTGTGAATCAGCTGATGGATTAAAGTTCCATTTTATTTCCTTTTGTAGCATAAAATCCATAATCTGCTCCTTGATCCACTGTCCAATAGCTGTCCTCAGTTCTCATTCTGCTCCTTTAAAGTTGGTACCATTATCAGAACAAAGATCTTGGATTTGGCCTCTTCTTGCAACAAAGTGTCTAAATGCATTGATGAAAGAGTCAGTCTGCAGGGATGGTGCAACCTCAATGTGGACTGCTCTGATGGCACGGCAGGTAAAAATAACACCATATCTTTTGACCATGTTTCTTCTGCTTTTTTTTTTCAAAAGGTCCGAAGTAATCTACTCCAACACAAGTAAATGGTGACTCATCTGGAACAGTTTCTTTCGTTTGGTAAATCTGCCATCTCTTGGCAAACTGGCATAGCATTAACCACTGATATTCTCTGTAGCTCAGGATCTTCAGGTGAAAGCACACTGATATTTTGTGAACTGACAGGCCACTCACTTAGAGGCTGCAGCAAGAACTGAGGTCCTGACAACCACGCAGGATGTTTGATCAATGCATTAGTTTTCACTCGCCTGGAGGCTATGTCTGCTGGGTTACTGACACTGTCCACATTTCTCCATTGTGTGGCATCAGAAACCTTGAGAATTTGTGAGACTGTTGACAGCAAAAACTTTATAACGTGAGGTCTCATTTTTAATGTACCCTTCTCCAAAGTACATCCATACGGCTTGAAATAGTTGCAGCTATTAGCTCCATCCTAGGTCGGCCTCCTGGAACTCTGCCTTGCCAACGGTTGGCCTCCTGGGTCTCTGCCTCGCCTCAGGCCTCCCGGCCTGCCTCCAGAGACTTTGCTTGGCCTCTGGCCTCACAGCCGGCCTTCAGAGAATGTGCTTGTCCTTGCCTACCTTTGATGGGTTGTTTTGTGCTTTGGACTCTGTTTTTGTTTCGTGTTGTCCTTCCTTGTCCCCCATTCGCTCGTCAGGAAGGAAATGGAGGCCTAATAACCACTAAAATCCTCAAATAATTGTAGAGAATGCCATGATTGGTTTGAGAACTAGAGTAACATGGTCGCTATTCTATGTTAAAATTATGCCCCCAGTAATCAAAACTAATACAGAATTTTGAAGCTAAAGCACTGACAGCTAACACTGACCCTAAAAAGATATTTGGCATCATAAAGTTTATTATAAAAATCAAACAATGTCTTTGAAAAACCCAGCCTATTGTCTACAAAAGAAAAAATGAAGCTGATTTTCTTCTGACATTTCTCTATTTTTTACTTGCAGCTATTATAACAAGAGGTTTTAGAGTTGCTGCAGATTTCTATGGCCCCTCATAACTTTAAGTTACCATACTACTGCAGGTTGGCACTGTTTTGGTATCAGGGGTGGAGTTTAGCTGAATGCTACTTCAGGACCTACAGGTTTTATAGGTTTCCTCTCAATCTAACCGCGGCAAAGATTTTTGCTTCAAACTCCAAGAGAAACACCCACACCGTGCCCCATACATACACACTTCATCATTCTTCATCTTCACTAGACGTGGACATACTTTAGTATATTCTGCTGTAAAATGAGTCTTATATTTTCGTTTTTTAGTGGAGGATTCAACCTATTTCACAGGATGCACAGCTTTGAGTGGTAACTAGGTGACTGTATAAGAGAAAATCAAAACTTATTGGCTTATTTTTCTGACTAATCCAATCAGTGCGCTCTCTGACAACCAGTCGCCTGGAACGCTCCTTGAACAGAGCATCGCTTGGGACAGATACGCACAGGTTTCACAAACAACCTCCTCCCCACACCCTTCTCTCTCTTGTTTTCTGCTCAATCAAAGTAGTTCTAATCCACACATGGTGCACGAATTATTGTATTGTCTGCACGCTCTCTCTCACATTAAAAAAACACCACCTTGCATAGTCTAAAATTCAGGGATAATTTATCCGACTTGTGGGCATCTGTTAACAACTATCTATATCAAGGAGACTCCAGAAACTTCCGGGAGACTTTGCATGCCTGATACCAGCCCCCAGTCCCAGCCTGACTGAGGACAGGCACCTCATGGTTCTCTGCTGAGGTCCGGTCCAGTCAGGTGAGAGGAAGCCAATAACATCTGAAGGAGACTTCAGATAAACTCTGCCAAATCTGAACTGATGGTAAATATAATTGACAGCATTATAGGTGAAATGCAAACTGTTGAAAATGTATCAAAATTAAAAACAAAAGGATCCTTCAAAGAACAGAGATAAACTGACCTGCAGACCAGACAAACTTTGGTTCACTGTATTCAGTGTAAAACACTGGTTCTCCTCTTCCTGCTCTGCACACATATCCTGCTGTGTGATTCTGTCCATTAATGAGGTAGGAGTTCTGTTCAGTCCAGTTGGTTCTGCCAGTCAGCAGCTCAAAGCTGTAGGAGCTGCTGGATTTTGCTGGAACCACTTTATACCAGAAGAACCTCCATCCTGCAGATGGATGCTCCAACCCCCCACAGCTCAGAGTCACTGAGGCTCCAGGACTCAGCCATGATGGAGACACAGAGAGGACAGGCTGAGCTTTATCTGATGGAGACACAGAAAGGACAGGCTGAGGTTTAGCTGACGGAGACAGAGATGTTCAGAGTGAAAAAAAAAGGTGGAACCAGCTGATACCAAACAAGCATGCTACCTTTAAAAGTACTTCGTATATCACAAACAAGCAACACTCCGGCTAAAGATGACCAATACTTTACCATATTTAAAATCTTTTTAAGTTGTCTTTTAGTTCCATTTGAGTAATAGTATCAGGCTGGTTTTAATGAAGAAAAAAACAAATTTTCTAATCTTTAATTGCTTATGATCCCTTTTATCAAATTGTACGATCATAAACTGTTTAAGTTAATTCATGATGACCGCATTCAATATACAGAAGATCTTTACAAAACACAATAGAAATGATTTTTTATTAAACCTTGTCAGAGTCAATTTCATTAGTAACTGTTTATCTTGTAAAACATTTTTCTCCTCAGTTACAAATTCCAAATACTGTGTGTTCTCTCTACTTAACTTATATAAATTTAAACATCTTTAACTCATCAGCTTTCAGCTTTCTGTGTCAACATCTCAAACACTTAATCATTCTACACTTCTCTATCAAGTTGAGTCCCACAAGGCTAAATATTAGGGCCCCTCCTCTTTTCATTTTTTATTTTATTTATTACCCTTAGTTTAAAGCAGGGGAACAGCTTGTCAATGAAGGAACTTTTGGACTGTGGAGAAAACATTAAAGCATGACTAATCCTGAACTTTTTTTTACTTTAACAAAAAGAAACAGGTGAGAATGGTTGGCGATCTCACCACTGTTGATTTGGGAACCCTTGCAATATATTTTATATCAACTTTGATTGATTTGGGTTTTAAATTGGACAGGATATTTAAATCAGATGGTCAATTCAGGGCAGCTTTAACATCATGGATTATCACTAAAAGAGCATCTCAACCCTGTACTGGAACCTTACCTTATCCTATATATAACTTTTGAAAAATTCACCTCATGGAGGCAGTTTCTAGAGCACCTGGAGACATGCAAAAAGTTGGGGGCTAGGTGTGGTCTTAGCTCTGATTGACAGATGGACTGACAGCACAAACATGGAGGAGGAGGAGGATTTCTTTCCACCGTCTTCATCAGAGACAGAGGAAATGGTGGAAACAAAGGAAGCTTCTATGGATGAGACCAGCAGCACTGAGGTGTACTGATTAGATCCTCTGGCTCTAGATTCCCAATATGGAGTGAAGTTAGCTTAATGTTGATTCAGCAGCTTCAAATTCCTCTTTGAGCCACACAGACAGTCTGCTATTGCTGCCGTCTGGCTGTTCGTCGATAAATATCGAAAACAAAGACTCTTGATAAAAAATATC